CTGGGCCCGCCGCTCTGTGCCTGCGAGGGGCCCGCCACGTCCCGCACCTCTGATGCCGGGAGAGGTGGCTGCCCGGAGTCCGAGCTCTGCCTCCCCCTCCTCAACCCGGGGTCCTCCCGCACATGACCTTGGGCAAGCCAGTGGGCTCCATCTCTCTGCCTCAGTTCCGTCATCCGTACCCAGGGCTAATGACACCGGTGCCAGGGTGGAGTCCTGCGCAGGTGGAGTCAGTGCTGGCATGAGCCAAGCACATTGGAAGCGCCCCATACACCGTGGCCCACGCTACTGTCATCAACGTCCTGGGGTTTGAACACCTCCTCCTTGGGCTCCCTGGGGTGAGAAGAGCTGGAGCCTGATGCCCCCCACCCATGTTCATTTGAAAAGCCACCTTGTCCTGACCTAACCTGTTGGAGGGGAACAATGCTACCTACCCAACGCCTCTCAGGTTTGGAGTCAGACTGACGTCACCAATGTCTCCCTCTTCTTGATATGACAAGATGTAAAACAGAAGCACAGGCCAGGAGGGACTCCAGGGCCTGGGGGACAGGGGTCGCCCGCAGGCTGGGAGGCAAGCCGGGTGAAGGGTGAAGGACCATGGTTGGGCGGAAATCCTCCCAGTGCTGTGTGACCTGAGCAGGTCACCCACCTTCTCTGGGCCTTGGTCTCTGCATCTGTAGGAGTAGCCTGCATGAGCCAGGGGCTCTTCCCACACATCTGCTTTTTCCTTCTCCCGTGTGGTCCCTTCATCTCTCCCTACACTACTGGCCTCCTCCCACCCACCCCCTCTGCTCGTGACCGACCCTCCACGGCCTCCTCGCTATGACTTCCAGAACAAGGCAGTCCTTTGAGACCCTAAATGTGGTCAAAGGACCAGCAGCTTCTGCATTGTATTCTGAGAACGAAGAATCCTGGACCCCACCCCAGACCTGCTGAATGAAAATTGGTTAAACAGACCCCTGGGTGATTCGTGTGCACAGAAATCTCGAGAGGCACTGATCTAAACAACACTACAAGGGAGGTAGGGTTGTTATTCATTCCCATTTTACATTGAGGAAACTGAGGCACAGAGAGGTTGAGTACTTTGCTTAAGGTCACTCGGATACTAAATAGTAGAGCCTGGATTCCAACACACAGTCTGACTTCAGGGGTCACGCAATTAACTCATTACATTTCACTGTGGTTTGTCATGAGAGGTGATGAGCTTCCTGTCATGAGAGGTGGTCGAGCAGGGGGTGGGTGCCCATTTGTCTGGGGTGCTGCAGTGGGGAATCCTGCCCTGGTACAGAGGTTTGGATAACAATAGTCATCAAGTAGTGAACATCTACTGGGTGCCATGCGGGGGTCAGACACGTTAGTCAGATTCTCTCTGTTCAGCCTCAACAGGCCTCCAATCAGGCTTTAAATCCTCACTTTGCAGGTGATGGCTATTAAGGCTATGGGCGGTGAGATGCATGTTCCAGGTCCCTCCCGAAGGAGGAGTCAGGCACTCATCCTGGGGCTGTGACAGGTTCTGAATGGGTTGTTCTGTTCCCTGCTCCCCCACTGGACCCTGCCCAGTTGCCTGTGACAGGTTCTGAATGGGTTGTTCTGTTCCCTGCTCCCCCACTGGACCCTGCCCAGATGCCTCCCTTCCAGCTGATGCCCAGAGAAGGCGGTGGCTATTTAAATACCTCAGGTGTGGCTACAGTTCTCTCTGCCCAACCAGCTGGCATCTTTTTCTCAGCGCCCACCTCCTCCCCTAGCCAGGGAAAAGCACAGACATTTGCCATTTGGTAAAACATCTGTCCTCCTGAGAAGCAACTCAAGCTGTCAGGGGGCCCTGGAACAAGGCTAGAATCCCCCTCCTCCCTGTTTCTCCAGGGACACCACAAGGGAACTGGCCAAGGCCAGGGGAGGTCCGAGGAGTGACCACTATGGTGGTGGAGGGGAAAGAGCCCAGGCTGGGTGGCCCCAGGGCCAAGATCTCGTTGTGACCACGGTGGCTTTGAGCCCTCCGTGTCCCCTCTCTGGGCCTCGGCTTTCGCATCTGTTAAATGGGGTCATGAAGATAGGAGTATTGCTGACTGGTTACTTGGCCCTCCTTGTATCTAGTCTCCCCTGTGAAACTGATACTCCCTACGTCTCAAGGCAGGGACCTCATCTCCCCTGTTTTACAGATGAGGGAACAGAGGCTCAAATTCGTTTCTCGCTCCCTCCAGGTCATGTAGACCTCCTCTCCCCAAAGTTCTACCACTCCATCCTTAGTAATCAGCCCTGCCTTTCTCATACCTACCCCATCTTCAAGGCGGAATATTTTTCAAGTACTCCCTCTTCCTCCAGGTGAAGTGGAAGAATCCTATTCATTTAAAGCCCTTGGCCCTAGCCCATGCCAGCGCACCGGCCACCTGCAGAATCAGACACTCTCTGTCTCCGATGCCAGGTGCTGCTGAGCCCGTCTTCCTTCCTTTCCTCACTTTCCTGACACCGGAAATGTGTCTGCTGTATGAATGCGATTGAAGGGAAGCCAAGAGGGGAATTTCCTTGGGTTCAAAGGGTAATGAGTCTTTTTTCCTAATTAACAGAGCAAAATGTATGTTTAAAGTTAGATTTACCAGAGAGAGAAAGGGGGGGAAAACAGGTATATATGATCTTTTTTCCTTCTGGTCCTAGCCCTTTAGATGTTAGGGAATGTATGCTGAAAGTCGCCACCCTGAGGACACTCCACGACTTAATCTGCGCCCCTCGCCGCCGGGCCGGGGCACCTGGAAGGAAGGGGGAGCTTGGGCCCGGACTTCTGGGGTTCCCTTCGGGCCCTCTAGGGTTGCCACGGCTGCTTCTGGCCTCTGCGAGTGGACGCTCCTCCCTCCCCACCCCACTCCCGCCCCGCCCTCCCAGTAGGAGGAATGAATTCTCCCCAGGGAGCC